CCCAAGTCTTCTCTGTTCCACCCGATAAGCCCTTTCACAGGAACTGCGTCTCCAGCCCCGAGTCTCCCCGAGGTCTCCCCACACTGGCGAGCGGGTCTGGTGGCTGCTCTCACCCCGCCAGCTCAGGGCTCTGGGGCTGCCTCCCTCGGCATCACCATTGTTTCCCACCTACTTCGCAGCCGCCTATTGTTGTCTCACACGCACCTTCTCTTCATGGATTTGTGCCTTTTTAATCCATTTAGAGCCATGTGAGCGGGTTTCGAGGATGGTGTAAAATTACATCGAGGCGGTCAAACAGCCGTATTCACATTTCTTAAATAGTCACATATCCCCGGTTAAGAGCTAGGAGTCCTTGGAAGTCATCGGCCCAAGCATCTCATTTCACTCTGAGGAGACGGAAGTCCACGGAGTACTATGATTTGTCAAGGTCACTTGATGAAGCATAAACACACAGGGATCCATAGAAGGAGAAGCCCTGGCTATGGTTCTATGTGCCTGTAGGAGTTTCTCTCTCCATCTAGCTTCTGGGAGCATTTTGTACGTGAAGGAGCGCTCTGACCATCAGAAGGCCTGCTGTTCCCATCTTTGCTCAACCACGGATTGTGTATTAGCTCCATCCGCCCTCCAGTTTAACCCTCGTGAGGCTCTCTCTCCTCCCCCACCACACAGGGTTCACCTACTGCGAGTGCCCGTCGTGTGAACTAAACACAAAAGTGAATGAAAATTGCCCATCTGCCCGGCGGGTGTGGCTCAGTGGTTGAGCGTCAACCTATGAACCAGGAGGTCACATTTTGACTCCCAGTCAGGGCACAGGCCCGGGTTGTGGGCTCCATCCCTAGGGTAGGGTGTGCAGGAGGCAGCCAATCAATGATTCTCTCTCATCATTGATGTTTCTGTCTCTCTCTCCCTCTCTGAAATCAATAAAAATATATTAAAACAAGCAAACAAACGAACAAAGATCAAGTGTGGAGCTCTGGGACAACGCGATTTCATCTGAGCTCCGGGACCTGAGCGACAGTGATGCTGACGAAGTCCTCAGACCTGGCAACGGCTTCCTCCGAAGAACTACTCTTCTCAGGTGAGACCCGTGATGACCCCGTTTACCCACAAGGCCAGGCACAGGCCTCCAAATTCCCCTGCTCTGCTCCCTAGAAGCCGGGCGGGCCTGGAAGTGCCCACAGACCGTCAGAAAGTGCTCCCTCACCTGCCTTGATCACACACCAGTCAAGGTTCCTCTTCAGGCAGGGCTGTTGTTTTATGTGGTAACTGGATTTGCAATCAGACAGTGAGAACTTACATTTTTAATAAATTTTATAAAACTGATCTTCAGAGAGAGAAGAAGGGAGAAGGAGAGAGAGAGAGAAACATCCACATGAGAGTGAAACATTGATCGGCTGCCTCCTACATGTCCCCTACCGGGGACTGAGCCTGCAACCCAGACATGTGCCCTGAGTGGGAATCCAACTGGCAACCTTTCGGTGCAGGGGACGACACCCAGCCAACCGAGTCAGGGTTGAACTTGAATACATTTTAACTTTCATTTTTATTAATGACTAGAGGCCCAGTTCATGCACTGGTGAGTTCCCTCAGCCTGGCCTGCGGGGATCAGGCTGAAACCAGCTCTCCGACATCCCCCGAGGGGTCCTGGATTTTGAGAAGGTGCAGGCCAGGCCAAGGGACCCGACTGGTGCACGATCGGGGATGGGAAGGGACCGTGGCAGGGCTCCAGGGCGTGTCCGGCCGGTCTGGCCCAGTCCCAATCGGCTGGACCCCAGCAGCAAGCTAACCTACTGGTCAAAGCATCTGCCCCCTGGTGGTTAATGCGCATCATAGCGACTGGTCGAACTGTCAAACGAATGGTCAGACACTTAGCATATTAGGCTTTTACTATGTAGGATGTCATTGTGTGCATAGATGTGTACAGGTGAAAGTGTTACCATACCCACAACCACTGATTTTTCCGCAGGTGCTAATTATTCTATTACAAATATATATTACATTATAGATGTTACAGGTGCAAATAGAAGGTTTTTCCAATGGTTATGAAGACAGTGAATCAGAATACAGTAAGATAGCAGGGTTTCACTGCGGACTGTGTGCCATCCAATAATTAGGTCCTTTGTTGGGGAGGCCTGGTGTCCTGAACCCACCGTAATTGATCTAAGCCGTATGTGCGACCTGACCCTGCTCCTGGGGGAACAATTAGTTACGCTGTCATTTCATAAACAATGAAGCCTCCGGAACATGTCGCCGTCTCCATTCACTGTGTCCCCTAATTGGCTGCTCCCCGAAAGGCTGATCAGTCTGACGGAGGGCTGCCTGGCTGACCTCTAACTCAGCCTGGAACTGACCTCGTAGCCTCTGCCACCACATGCCAAGCACGGGGTTCTGCCAGGGCGCCCCAGCCCAGCACAGGGCATGGCCGCCCACGCAGCAACTCGGGCCACGGGTCCCAGCATTGCTCTTGGGGGCAGCGGCCAGGCCTTCTGGAGTCACTG